ATTTGTGTTTTCAAATGCCTGGCATATAATAGTCATTAATAAATAGTTGAAATACCAGTTATTAAATAACAAGTGAATGAATGAATGAATGCATGTGTGATTGAATAAATTTGTATCTTCTTGTCTGTTGCAACTAGAGTGGTATAAATTTGTTAACTGCCAAATAAATGTTTGATTTTCAGTAATTAACTTAGGTAAATATTTAAGGAAATTGAATTTTGAAATAACTGTGATATGGCATGATCCAAATAATCAATTAAATAATGAGAATTAATAAAGACTTAAATAAAATTTCTGTTCTGAAGAATATAATCATTGCAGTCCAACAGCATACATGTGGGTATATTTCCATATTGTGCAGGACAAGGATAAAAATAGGAAGAAATAAATAGACTTCTTCAGAACACTGGTATCTCTATTTTCTAGTTCTCTATTAAAATTCCTAAGCAAGGAAATGAAAGGCTAAGAAGTGGGGAGAGAGAAATAATCCTCCAGACACTGATTCTTTGTTAATTATGTTTGATTTATCTAAGTCATTTGCTATTTGCACATTATACAGTTATGAATATTATACAATTATATTAGAGTCACTTTTTTCTAAAATAAACTTATTATTTGAAAATCATCTAAATGTATATTTGAACTTTATATAGTTATTTTAAGGTGTTTGTTAATTTTATGTAGAATAATCTCTGAGTTCCTAGTGGCAACTGGTATTTCTTGTGTACAACTTAGGCTACATATTTGTGTCACACCCTTTTCTTTATCCAATTTATTTATTTTTGGGTGAGGGGATTGTCATTGGCTGGAATTAATTCATTGGGACCTTCACAATATTTCTACTACCCTGACTGTAAACTAGTTGAAGTATGATGTTTGCTACTTGACCGTAAACTAGTTGAAGTATGATGTTTGCTATGTAGTCATGGTAGCTGTAAGTAAACAAACATGCCTGAACTATATATTTATTTGGATCTGACTTGTTTTACATTCTATCACAGACAGCTAAGATTAATCTAGTAGCTAATGAGAAGTTATCTCCATGAATAGGCTCTTAAAACTTGTATTGGGATGTAGAAAATAATATTTTCTTATACCTTGTATATTGTAATGAACCCTTGGGATTTTTCTCAAAGAACAGTGTAAACACCTCTGTAGTATTACCAAAGGAAATTTTTGGTGCTATATAGTGTGCAGAACAGAGTAGCACAAAAAGTCACTAAACTAAGTCAATCTGTGTCTAAGCTCTTTAACTAATGTATAAAATAGCAAGTTCTTGTATTATTTTATTGCATGTATATTAACTTTCATGTGGTATTATGTGTTAGAATTATATGGTTAGATCTGAAGTTCAGAAATTACATTCCTTCAAAACTTTTTAAATTTAGGATTAAATGTGTCATCTAAACTAAGAATATTGTATGCTAAGTCCCAAAACCTGGGAATGAATTAGAACTTTCTGAGCCTCACCTTCCTTCGTCAGATTGTTTGTTACTTTATAGTTTAAAGATTAAATAAATGGTTTGGAATATTTATAGTGAGCTGTGTAAATGTAAATAACAGACTTCTACTAGTTAAAAATTGCTTACCTTAATTAACACATTTAATTGAGCTTAATGCTTACATTATATTTATCATATACAAGGTTAGAGCTGCTGAACAGATACATAATTCTTCTTAACTATCAGATTACACATAAATGAAGTAACTATGAAATATGCTATTTTCAAAAGATCAGTTGGCAACCTCATTTAACAATTGGGCAAGTAATTAAAAGGAAATTGCTCAGCTCACTGCTTAATGATATATTTGATGGAAATGATATATTTTCCAGTGTTTTCTTGACTTTAAAAATTACTTTTTTATGTGTAAATAATTTTTTAAATGGTAAAGTATGTGTTCATGCCAAGTTTTCAAATTTCTCCTAAATAAGGTATTACAAGCAAAAATCAAAGTAGAAGTATGTGCTGTCAGCAGGTATTGCACATATTTGTAATTACAAGAATATGTGCCATAAATAAGTAGTCTGTGTCCATTTTATAGCTAAGGTTTTAAAATTTTCATCTAATCAAATGAAAAATAATTAATGGAAAATGGAAAACTATTGTAATTTTTGTATTCTTCACAAATAATATGCATTTGGTGTAGTAACTTAGTAACAAATTATTAAAAGAACCAAATTACAAAATAATATTGAAAAATTAGTCAAAATTATTTATATGGTTGCCAGTATAAGGATCAGGCATATGGGTTCTTATTAATATACCATTAGCCTGATCACAGAATTGAAAAGAAAGAAAGGGCAATTTTGAATGACATTTATATCAACTTTGGTACTGTCAACCTCTATTGTGTCCTTGGGGCCTTGCACTTTTTGGCTTTCAGACATCTGTGCTGCCTTGAATGGAGGAGAATATTAAGAGTTCCAGTGGGCCTCTTGCTCTGATAAATGCTCTGAATAGTTATCTTTCAGCATGTGCATGTAATAGTTCTTAGTGCTTAAAGCTAAGACATATGACATTCCACCGTATCAGCAGCTCCATCTGCATCATCTGCATCAACACCATCATCCCCCCCGTGTATACACTCACGGTGTTTCCTCTGTGCTCATAAATCTCTGCTGTCCAACTCTTGGAATATATTCCTGTGTGTGTGTGTGTGTGTGTGTGTGTGTGTGTTTTCTTTCTTTCTACACACACAAGTAAAACAGTCATTTTTAACTTTTTCAAGCATCTCCCAAAACTTTTGCAAGAGTTGTGATGCTGTCAAAAGGAAATTCTAAGGCTGTCATGATAGAAGCCAGTAGCTTCACACAGAAGGTAGTAAACAGATACAACACTTGGGAGGGAAAAAGAGTGCCTGGAATATTTATAACTACTTAGTAAATAGTTGATAAAGCCTCTAACTGACAGTCAGGATATTTAAGCTTAATTGACAAGGAGAAGACCGGGATTCTCATTGTTATTGTTCCGTGGAATCTTAGTAGCATTTAGTTTATTATGCATATGCATGCTTCCATTTATTAGTATTAGCATATGATGTATCTCAATCATATTTTAAAGACTTGGTAATATTATATATTTTCAATGTATCTCCTTAAATTGAAGATTTTTTTAAAAGGTTTTGAAGTCTAATAAAGCATTTTTAATGATCTCCCCTTATATAAGGCAGTGACTCTTAAACTTTAGTACTCATCAGAATCACCTGCAAATGCTTGTTACAATAAAGCTTTCTGAAACCTACCCCCAAAGTTTCTATATAGACAATTTGTCTAACAAGTTCCCAGGTGGTACTGATGGTACAAGTCCATGGGCCACATTTTGAGAACCAGTCATAAATACTTGAGTATAGTGAAAGGGTATAATAATTCTGGGTTTCTGCCAATCATAACATTATAAATGTGAATTATGGCTGAATGGCTCAAATAAATGTTTCAGATTGATCAATCTAATGGTAATTTTGCCCCTGTAGTTTTTAAAATGCAAAAATAAACTTCTCCAAGTTATGTATTGAAGCAATCATGAAATTATTTTACTTCCTACCAAGATTCTGTGAATTAATATAAATTTGGTACAGTGATTATTAATTTATCATGTATCTCACCTGATAGAAGATTGCCAGTTTGAATTTCCTCATGGATTTTCAAATAATTGTTCTTTTCTCTGAAATAAACAAAAGAAAAACTGGAAAAAAGGTACAAGAGTAATTCTTCCAAGTCTATTCGTGTGTTTTCTAAGTGCACCTAGCCACAGAATCAAATAATAATCTAATAATATTAAACCACTTAAAATATAAACTTTAAATGGATGTCATATTAACATTTTTAAAAGTTATTTACTTCGAGGGTTTTTTTTGTACATCTGTACATAAAGTTTTTGTATACATTAATTAGCATACACTTTCATTTTACCTAATTACCCTAGATGATTAAAAACTGTTCTACTTTTAACAAGTTATTCTGCTATTGGTAGATGTTTTTTGTCCTTAACCCTCAAAATAGTAGCTAAGTGGAAACTAAATTTTCATTCTACAATAATATTCATTTAAAACTGGATATAATGTAAGCAATGATGTATTAACATGTGACACAATATTTCACTTTTAGAGAACAGAGAAACAATAACTCTCCATTTGCAGTGACGGAGAAGTGTTATAATAATAATATAATATTATTCTTATATTCTTGTATGACACAATAGAAAGTTTAATGAATTTACTTAGGGATAATACAGAAATGTATAAAATTGAGTATAAACTATATTTTGATCCAGTAACAGTTGGAATTCACCAGTCATGCTAAACTGATCATATATAAATCTTCATGCTACATGTAAAGGAAAATCTGGAAGACATATATGGCTTTAAAAAACATGATGTTTGTTAATCATATAGAACAGTGTCACATAAATAAGTAGTACATAATAGGGTAATGTTTATTTTTATTTTTAGATTAAATCCAAAAGTATTCCTGTGAAACCTAGGAGAGAGGATTATTTTTAAGAAAGTTAGTAAATTTTATTGTGTGTGTGTGTTTACTTTGGAGAGCAGTTCTGATCAGAGATATAAAGCCATGTAATTCTTCATCATGGGTGTTCCAAGTACTCTGTCTAAGCACCAGGGCATAAAGATGCTCTAGATTCAACCCCAGTTCTTTGAAGCTTAAAAAAAAATCCTTACCTACATCATAATTTTTATTTGTTAGGTAATATCTCTCAATAAAAATGAATAGTACAAATGTTCTTACAGGTGACATCAATTATGTGCTTTCTTTGGATAACTGAATACACGTTTACCTTCTTTTATGCAAAAGGTGTTTTAAAAGTGTAGCTGAAAATATAGTATGTTGACAGCTAACCAGACACTGTAATGTTCAAACTGAATGTTAAGATCACTGATTGGTGGAGTAATTCATGAGAATTGACAAGCTGTATATCTGTGTTTTTCTAGGCACTTTAATCAGCCTTTCCTTATCACAGCTCATGTTCTAATGATCATTGCAGGATGAAGTGGCACAGCCACTGAACCTATCAGCTAAACCCAAGACCTCTGATGGCAAATCACCCACATCACCCACCTCTCCCCATATGCCAGCTCTGAGAATAAACAGTGGGGCAGGCCCCCTCAAAGCCTCTGTCCCAGCAGCGTTAGCTAGTCCTTCAGCCAGAGTTAGCACAATAGGTAAGTTCTGTTTCTTTTGTTCTTGCTGATTTTCTATTTATGACTATTGAATGAAATCATCTTTAAATGGCACATCACATATTCCCTGTGCATGGCTTGAGTTTTATAGGAGAGTTTCAGTTTGAAGAATCATACAGGTTTGGTTTAAATATGCAAATGAAATTTCTCACAGAAGATCAAGTTATAATGTCTCTCTGAAAATCTAATTGTATATCTAACTATGTCCATAAATGTATCATAAAAGAGCCTAAATGACTAGTTACAGTGAGGAGTGGTTCCAGAATGTTGTTATTAGGTGATTTACCTTTTTCACCACTGAAATTTATTTCCATTTTTCTGTGATGTATAAAAAGTATACATAATGATGAAATGCATTCTGCCTGGATCAGCACACCAATGTATTATTAAGAATGGGTAGCTTCAATTCTCCATAATTGTAAATTCAGTAAACAATTAGTAGAAAAACTTCTATAAGCTGACTTTGAAACGTTCAGTGATTATTTGTATACAATTTTGTTCAGCTGGCATGGGCCAGCCCTCAAGGAACTCAGGTTCAGTTGAAGAAAAATCATCAATCCTACACTACAGAGCACAAATGCAATCATTCAGTCAAAGAAAGGAGAGTATGGGATTCTATTTGGGAAGAATCAAAGAAGAGTAAGTTGGAGATAGCCTAATTCAAACTGAGCTTGAAGAGATACATTCACACAATAAGAAAAAGCACAGAGTAAAAATACCATATTTGTGAGAAATACATGGATTTGCCTAGGTTATAGAATGAAGATGTGGTGGAAAGTGATTAGAGAACTAAAATTAAAAGAGGCAAGTGGAATCTGATTGAATGCTATCCTAAGGAATTTTGACTCTTTCTCAAGGTGCAGAGTATTGGCAGAAGAAAAATATTGGAATTGGGGAAACCATTGTTTTGTTTGTTTATTTGTTTTTGGTTTCTGGAGAGCAGAATAAATTATAGAAGATGGAATTAAAAGATTGAAAATATATTATTAAAGGAAAATTGATACAATTTGTCCACAATAGGATGTATCCGATAAGGCTAAAGATGTAGACATAAGGAGTTTAGGAGTTTGATTTATGAAATAAGAAGGATTTTGCCTCCATTAACTATGAAACGGGAGACCAGAATGGAAGCAGGTTTAAGGGAAGACATAAATATAAAAATTTAATATGTGTTGAATTTGAAATACAAGGAACTATTTAGGTAGAGAGGTTTAGGAGGAAATTATAATGGTAAGTCTGAACTATAAAAAGTGGTAGAATTTTAGATATGGTAATTATTCCTTGATGAGGTGATTGAGGTCAGAGAGAAAATAAATTCAACAAAAAAGGATATGTCTGGTAAGAAGAGAAGTGGGGTAAAGAATCATAGGTACTATATTATTAATATGGTATATAATACAATATACCTAGATACTGTATTAGTTATCCATAGCTGTGTAACAAATTAATCTAAAATTTAGCAGTTTACGACACATGTTTATTATCTCCATTTCCAAGGGATAGCTTACCTGGGTAGTTCTAGCTTAGGATCTCTCATATGATTGCAGTAAAGATGTTGACCACAAGTGCAATCGCCTACAGGTTTTACTGGGGATGGATGATTTGTTTCCAAGATTACTCACTTATATGACTGCTGGCTGGAGGCCTCAGTTTTTTGCCACATGGATCTGTCCTAGGACTACTCATAACATGATGGCTAACCTTTCCCGGAGTGAGTGATCCAAGGGAGGGAGCAAAGAGACAGGCACAATGCCTTTTATGACCTGTTCTCCAAAGTCACCCAGAGTGAATTCTGCTGTATCTGTTTCTTACAAGAGAATCACCAAGTCCAGTCCAACTCAAGGCAAGGAAAATTAGGCTCCAATTCTTAAAAGAAAGAGTATCAAAGTATCATTGGACATATTTTAGGACTACCATACTTTTTTAGAAGGAAAACTGATGAAGAGTAAGGGAATGTCTTTGAATAAGAATAAACATGGGCTTTGACATTCTAACCTAGGTAATCTAACTGATTCAAAAAAGAGGGATTGTTTAGTGGTGGCACATTCTGCATAAAAAAAAATAAAACATAAAGAAAATCTTCAGTACTTAGCTGAAGTTAAAAGATAGGTAGACTATGAAAGAAGAGTTTTAGTAGAAAGGTTAAATAGATCTCCAATTCAAAGATTTGAAAACTATGAGGAAAGAAAGTACAGTTGATGATTTAGACTAACCTTCTTCTAAGTTTAGTGTTGAAAAGTGATTACAGTTTGATAAGACTGAGTAGAGATAGGAATATATAATTCATCTTCAAGGAAGGAGGGTAAGAGGAGTTGGAAAGATATAGATATGAGAGAGTACAAAGGTGGCAATATAGCAAGGAGAAGAGATGAGAAAGGATTAGCCTTGGAAAAGGAGTAAATTTTCTTGTCTCTACAAAGGAGGATTCCAGATTATTTGTTAAGAGAAATTCACTTTAGGCAGTGGGACAGCAGTAAGAAGAGAAACAGAGAAAACTGAGATTTCAAGAAGTTTGATAAAGTTTGGGATATGTGTGTGCTTTTCATCATTGTGGTCTAACTCTTACTCTGCTCAGTATCCTAAATGGACGCCAGGATTAGGTTTGCTTTTTGCTTTTATGCACTAAATATATAAAAGAAATTCTGTTTTATTTGGCAAGGATGATTCACTTTTATAATGTACATGAAGGCTCATAAATATTACAGTGCTGTTATATGAGCTACCTTTGCAATGTTACTGGAACTAGAATATTTAACTAATAGAATAACTAATATATTTGCATTTTCATCATATATGAATATTTTTACTGTTGCGTTCCCAAGGATTAAATATGACAAAGTATTTTAGAAAGGCAAGAATGTACTTACTGACATTTATCATGCCTTTCTCCCCTAATAAAACATCTTTTTTTCTGAAAAGTCCCTTTACCACATACACATCCCTCATATTTTCCAAGGATTTGAGGCCACTACAATTTACTTTTCTCTTTTCAACAAATGCAGATGTTGAAAGCTGAAACTTTAATGAGTAATAATGTAGTTGGATAAAAGCCGTGAGGATTAATGGTGTTGTAAAGGTCACCCCTGAAAGAAGAATTAATGTGTTATGCCATTAATAAGCCGTGAAAAACTGTGGACCAAAAGATAACTTAAGTTATTGTTAATGACATGGGGCTCTTTGCTATATATCTATTAGCTACAAATATAGAAAGTGACTTTTTGAGGTTGGTGACCAGTATTATAGTGCATTCTATAAGAATGCCTTTGATATGGTACGCAAATGATAGGCAGCTCCAAAGAAAGGGGATCCTTAAAAGGCATGAATAGTTCAGAAAAATGATGGATAATTTTAGAATCTTTTGACCAGATGTTATTTTCCCCTTATTGGCCTTTCCACCTATGTTGTTCATATGTATAACACTTTTAACTTTTTTTCAAAGCATTTTTTTCATGAATTTTCTCCCTGCAGCTGTTCTACAATTATAGACCCTTAAACCAGTAGATATTCATACAATCTAGTAAAAACTTGTTAATTTGCAGATAAGAAACACAGACCTAAGGAGTCCAAGTGCCTACCTAGGGATTTGAAATAATTTTCTGTCAGAGTGTAGAGAATTCTGTGATACTGTATTTATTACCTCTGTTTTAATTTTAAAGAAACAAATGTACATAAAGATCTAGTAACTTATCCAGACTCATAGCCAAGGGAGTTTGGGGCTTTATACCCATAGTCAGTAGGTTGGCTTTCTTTCATGTTAGTCGCTGCCTTCTGGTAGCCACTGTGCGTTAGATGTTCTTTTCAGTCATTTATCCTTTCAGTTGTCCATCCAATAAGTGAAAAGTAAATACCTTCCCTGTGCCATGCATTTTGCTAAGTCTGGTGGATAAGCAAACTAAAGTCTTGGCCTGAGCCTTTAGTTGCCTATAGTTTCTGTTATGGCATATCTTTGGAACATTTGGAATGTATTATTCAGAGGAATTAACACATAAATATTAAAACTTTACCTGAGCAAATATTGTAGGTGCACATTGACTATATAAAATGAGGGAAAATATTTTTTAGTTCATTGATTGGATACTTTATAACTTGCTAATTTAAGATATGATGACTTGAAGAAATATATTATTTTTAAGTTTCATTAGCTTACATTTTTAAAACTTATAAAGAGTTATACAGAGTTTTAAAACTTATACAGAGTTTTAATGAGAAAAACTTCACATGCAGGTAAGTGACTAAACATATGAACAAAAATACTGTAATGTGTAGAAAGCCAGGAAGTTAGGGATATCATTCAAAGTCATATGGCAATTAGCATTTGTATAGCACTTTACAGTTTACAAGTTGCTTTCATGTACATGTATTATCTAATTTTTATGAGCTTTCACAGATGAAGAAATGGTGCCAAAATTTGATGATTAGTGACCTTAAAAATAGAAAAAAATTAATATTTGCTAAAAATCACTTGAAACACATATGCTGTTACTTTTACTTACAACTGAATATACTATATAAAATAAATATGTAGTAAATAAGAATTTGTATTGCACTAATAACATCTGTTAAGTCTATGAATTTTAATAAATCTGTGCCATATGGTACAAGCTTCCATTGATAAGAAGACAGAGATAATCAATGAGCTTGGAATTATAAAGGCAGATCCTTTTGATTTAGAATATGCATTTATTTCCTTTGCCATGAGCCAAAGAAATAAAAGATTGAATAAAAAATGCCTTCTAGTAGTTCATAGACTGATGTGAAAGACAAACTTTTTAGAAAAATGGAACACAATATAATAAAAAGCATATATAAGGTTTTGTGAGAGCATATAAATGGGAAGTAGTAATCTTGTCAAGGAGCATGTCTGAAGTATATATGTCAGAGAAGTTCTCACAGAAGGGGTGACATTTGAACACATTCCCAAACACACCAGAAAGAAGAGCATTTCAGCAAAAGAGAAAAATTTGGAAGACAGGAGTGGAGGG